TTATAGAAGTCCATTACGCATCACTTCTAACATAGACACTTGTTCACATTTTAACAGCTTACATATTAGCATGCCCCTCATAATCAACAGCATGTTGTAGGAGATGATGAATAAATGAAGAAGTTAATTTGTCAATCTGCACAAAAGGAAAACTGATCACCTTACAGCAGAGAAACCCAACAGACATCACACTAATCAAGTGATTGAGGTAACATAATGAGTGATAAGATACATCAACATCATGCGCTCTGGGACATGCTGTACATCTTCCCTGTGGTTATCTTGCCAAAAATGCATGAGCTTAATCAAACCATGAGAAAGCGTTTGACAAACCCAAACTGAGAGGCGTTCTACAAAATAACTGACCAGTACTCATCCAAAGTGTCAAGGTCATGAAAGATAAGGAGAGACTGAGGAACTGTCACAGATTGGAGGGGAGGAAGGAGATGTAATTAAGTGCAATGTGGTATCCTGGATCGGATCCTGGAGCAGAGAAAAGACACTGCGGGGAAATTGGTGAAATTCAAATAAGGTCTTTAGTTTAGTTAATAACGTCGTACTAGTGTTAATTTCCTAGTTTTGATAACTGGGCTGTGCAAGGCATGTAAATTGTTGACATTACCATAAGCTGGGTGAAGGGTATGCAGGAACTCCTTGTACTATTTTTGCAACTTTTCCCTAAGCTTGAAATTATTTCAAAATAAAACATTTTTAAAGTTAGGCCGAGCTATCAATATGTACTTGTTTAGGTACTAATTGTAATTCCATTTTTCTTTCAACAGAAGTGTTTGAAATGTCCAAAACAGCACTGACTTCTACCAGCCAAAGTTACTGCCTTTTCAAGGTCAGTGTTACAGAAGGTAGAGATCCTTAAGTACAAAGTTACTTTCGATGAGTCTCAGGACGATAGGTGCTATCTATGTATCTTCATAGTGCAGTCAGACCTCTCTGATCCATGGTTCTCAGTCTTGCATAATCCAGTGACCTTTGGGATTATGCTGCCAGGAGTCTTCTGCTCCCAGTAAGCTTTCCCTTAGAAAACAGGGATGAGGTCAACATTCAGTCAAATTTTCAACTAGTGAAAACTGCTGTGACTAGTGATACTGATAGAGAATATACAGGTAACTCAGGACCATCTGACCCACCAGGATGGACTCACATCCATATGCCTAGACAACAGCTTTCGCTTGTCAAAACGGGATTATGTTTGTGATCATATGCGATGTTTGAAGACACAGTGTGCAGCTATTTTACGTGTGTTCTGCATTCGGTTCCCATCTTTTGGGAATGTAGATGGGTTGACACGACTGTCGTCTGACTATGCCTGCTGCTAAGGTCTTTTCCGGGAATTTTCGTTACAAAACTACTCAAACAGGGGGAGTAGGGTGGGCAGATGTAATGGGTGTTGATCTGCCATAATGAAATAACGACAGCATTCGCATCCTTCTTGGATAATAGGTGGTCAATGTTACACTGCTTCAAGTATCGGACGGAGACTTCAAGACATCATGACGCCGTTGAAGCGGAATACATGAAGGTAACAGTCTTGGCTATGAAAATAATCACAAAGATTCTAGTGTAGTATTTTTACTGATGATCTTGCATTAAATGTAAGGGACATTCACTGAAAGAATCAAGCTACCTCAATGGCAACCTGTCATAACAAGAAATTGGCACAGAGTGGGTTAAGCAATATTTTGGAGAGATTCTGAAATAAATTGTGCCAAGCAGACTAGGCAATTGGGTCTAAAACAGCCGCATATCCACATGACACGAGACTCTTTTATGTAGCTGGAAATTAATCTATGGGCTGCACAGTCTAGATCTCTATCTGAAGATGGTACAACCTTCATCAATGAACACTCAACATTCATGGCATGATGGGCTCAGCACTTCAGCACAACGCACAATTAGCCATCAAGCTTGCCCTCCTTATTTGTACAACATTCCCTCATTATGAGGTAAGTGTAGAACATTGCATCTATTGTGCCTATTACGAAGGCAAATACCATCATCATCTGGTAGAGTACCTAGTGCTAATGGAATCCTTACAAAAACAAAACACAGAAAACCAAGAGCAGCAGCCCAAAACTCATCAAATGATTGCTTCAATTATTTGACCACTCATGGAAATAGAAACAGTGCACAGATGCGTTTCAAAGGTGTTTCAATTATACATACTCAAGGAGGGTAGTAAATGTTGCAATAAACACAAAGGTATGTTATTTGTGTATTATAGATATGATACTCATACAATCCACATAGTTCAATTACCCTCAACTTTGTACAGCATTCATGCATATCATGGATACGGAATAATATTAAAGCAGAGACCCACAAAGCTTTTGGGCAGACATGAGACTGTGACAAATGTGCTGTCTGAGAGGCAAATTAATTAATTGTTTGAAAGGCTTTGTGTATTTGAAATATTAAAGTTTTCATTAAAATTTGAAAATGTGAGGATTGTGTAAATCGTCTTCATCCTGTGTGATTGGTCATCAAGATATTAACATAATGTAAAAATTGTTTTAAAAACACTGGAAGCAGTGAGTAGACATGTATTTAAATAATTAAATGGCTTGTTACTATTCATTGCCTATTATCTATGTGGTCTCTGAATTAAACATTTTCCAAGCTTTAAAGCGGTGGTGCAGTATGTGTTTTGTTAACAATTGCTTTATTACTTTTCTTCAAAATGTTTCCTTTATGGCACTCTTTAAGTGGGTGAACTGACCTAACGTATACCAGTGATTAGAAGGATCACATATCTCCTTCCACCACACGTCTGGAAAGATAGAATTTGCAAAGCCTGCAAGGAACTCTCTATCAAAGAGTAAACTAAAAAAACCCGGTGATACTCCGCTTGAAGAACTAAGAAGATACTTGTGGCAACTGGATTAGGGCATGTCTATTTGGAACATGCGTTTGCAGTTTTCGATAACAAGCCCTAACTAAATAGAACTGCTCTGAAGAACTCCTAAAACAAACATCTTAGTGAACTGCGAGAACATAATCTTTCATTTAACTCACTCTTAGAGTGATACATCAGTTCTCATTTATGTCACCTCGTGGACTCTCCAGAGTAATCCTGGAAGTTCGGCAGAGAGGAAGTAATTTAAGCCTTATCAGATTGAGTAGCTGAGGTCAGCCACAGTAGTGAGGCTGGGACCATACCCCAGATCGCCTGAAACAACATATGCACACTGCTGAGTGTTGTGCCAGACCCTCTAGGTGGACTGAATGAAAGACATCTCCTTTCCCTCCCCAAACTAGCCCCATGCTCTTTTCTGCTTCAAGGCATTGCCCAGTAATGCAGCAGGAGATTTAAGTAATACACGAAATAATTGTAGATGAAACTTGAGTGATATGAAGTGTAAAGAGAATAAGCTCTTTAATTATAATATGTGCTGCAAATAAGACCAATTCAGACATTTTCCATGGTAAAAATTACTGTTTTTGTTTTTTTTTTAAAGTTTCTAGGGGCACCTGGGTGGCTCAGTCAGTTGAGTGTCCCACTCTTGATTTTGGGTCAGGTCATGATCTCATGGTTCCAGCCCCATGTTGGGATTCTCTCTCTCCCGCTCTCTCTGCCCCTCCCCTGCTCCCTCCCTCCCTCTCTCCCTCTCCCTCTCTCTCTCTCTCTCAAAACAAATATACATTTAAAAACTAACAAGTTTCCATTCTTGAACTGGGAGGGTCTGCAACAAAAACTAGTAACCACAAAATAAACTAAGGTAACTAGTTATGTAGGATGTCACTTGATAAAATGCTCTCTGAAGAAATGATCACACAAAGGAATACGTCTCCTTTAACTGATGAAGCCACAAACAAAAATGTTAATGAGGTCAAACTGGTCATGATGAGGCTAAAACAATATCAAAAAATTGAAAAGTTTCTTATTAAGCTTAATTCATTTCGATGTATTTTGACAAAAATAAATCTCAAAGGCATCGTAGCGAATCTTATCAATTTCAACCAGGAATCGACTACCACTTTTACTTCTATGCTTTAATATATGCATCTTTATCCTTAATTTAAAGATACCTATGAATAAAACATGAAGATCAGTGCATTCTCTTGTTCCGCAATCATGCATGTTCCATTCTACATAATATCTCCTTGGCCCTCATATTTTGTTCATACTCTAGTACATAATGTTCAGGTTCGATGACCCTGGCAATAGGACATTTCTTATAAAATGTCCTCATAAATCTGAAATTGGTTAATCAACAGTTCAGGAAGAAAATTAAGTGAACCTAGTTTGCTAACAATGTTTAAGTTAAAGGTTCAAAATATACTTGACTAAGAAACTTCAAAATGTTGGGGGGTGCCTGGCCAGCTCAGTGGTAGAGCATGTGACTCTTGGTCTTGTGGTGGTGAGTTCAAGGCCCACACTGGGCCTAGAGCTTACTCAAACAGAGAATAAAAATATGAAATAAAACTACCAGTTATTTGGGACACCTGATTGGCTCAGTAGGAAGATCTCAGGGTTGTGAGCTCAAGCCCCACGTTAGGTATAGAGATTACTAAAATAAACTTTAAAACCTGTTTTCCTCCCGCACGGTGAGATTTCCACCTCATACTCTTTCAGTCTGACTTGTCTTCTGAAAGCTGACGGGCCCCTGACAAGTATATTTGATAACGTAGGTAATAAGCTATAATTCAGCAAAGGGCTTCTTTAGGTTCTGTGAGAATTATGATCACTGTGTTCACAATTTAAACCATATACAGACAAGTAAAAGTATGGTAAGGCTGCAATTTCTCACTCCTACAAAAATTCTTTCGTTTTCTCTTTCTTCAACTCTATCCTGATCACTGGGCTTTGATGAGATTAGCTGTAATCTGGCTTAGTTCTACAAACCCAAAGTCCATAGCCTGTCTTAAAAAACAAACAAAACTTACCATGTCCATGCTATTGTTAACTTTACTAATTTAAAAGCACATCACACAGACATCAAGAAATTTAAATTGGATGTTACATGCATGTAGAGGAGACTCACCTTTAAAGAATCAAAGCATGCCACCACACGACCATTTTCCACGTGGCAAACCCTCGGCGGATGGGCAAACTTGCAATCCGCATCAGCTCGCGAGCAGGTTCCTCTCTGAAATTCTCTGCAGACTTCTAAAGTCAGCCACTTGGTGTCACGAACCAGGGTGACATTGACAGCCGTCATATTGAAAGCAAAGTTAAAATCAAGGGCACCCTCTCTAGGACAGCTTTACTGCTGTTAAGAGGTCAAAAATGAATTCAAGCTAAATGTGAAGAGATAACAGGTTGCTTTGGTGAAATGCTTCTTTGTTAGCACTTAGGTTTTCATTTAAGCCAAAATTTGGTCTAGTCAAACAAAGAGCCAATCACAAAATAAAACTTGTACCGGAGTAACTAAAAATCAAATTAGAGACCAACTCCTAAGAAGGCAACCAGAAAGGTTAAGATATTGAGTGTTTAATTTGTTCCTCTGCTGAAGTTCCTTCAAATAACTGGCAGGATTTCAAAAGAATTTTGTGCTCTCCGGTTGATGTTTTCAATTACTCGTGCAAAAAGCATATGCTGCTGGCTGCCCTTCAATTTGTGGAATGGTCTCAGATCAAGGGGAGAAAACTTTTTCTTCCTATTTCTTTGATTTAATGATTAATATTGGTAAGGATGTCAGGACTGTAAAAAAAATTGCTGCAAAATCAGGAGGAGGAAAAATGACCGTGAAAACGGAGAATCAAAGGGAAAAAAGAATGGGCACGTTACTGAGAGTGAACTACAAGCACACCAGGTTGGCAGAGGGTCAGGTCGGGGGGGGGGTTGTAAAGAGACAGTTCTAGAGTGGAATCCAAGCAGTAGTTTTCAGAAAAGGCACTTTTCAGAAACCTGCAAGAAAACAAAAATAAAATCAGCTGATATAATACTTCTGTTTTAAACCTTAGATTTGGAAAAGAAGTATCATAGCCTATTTAGAACAGGAAGCATCTAGGGGGGCCTGGGTGGCTCAGTCAGTTACGCGTCTGACTTTGGCTCAGGTCATGATCTCACAGTTCATGGGTTTGAGCCCCGCATAGGGCTCTGTGCTGACATCTTAGAACCTGGCGCCTGCTTTGGCTTCTGTGTCTCCCTCTCTCTCTGTCCCTGCCCCCACCCCCATCTCAAAAATAAATAAACATTAAAAAAAAAAACAGGAAGCATCTAGATACTGCCAGTGCAACAGTTGCCCACTGTCAATAAAAGGAGCATTTCCCAGTGTAGAGTAAAATGAGGCAGCCACATAGATTTGCTGTTGAAATACAAGACTGGGCAAAAGCCCAATTAAAAAGGAAAAATGATGGTTTCATTTTTATCTGTCTGGGGACAGAAACTCATTTGGGGGTTCACTGCACAGCAAATGCCAGAGCTGGACAGGACAGCCCCTTATGAGGCTACCGAAGACTTGTCATTATCTTGCCTTTACTGTGGTATGATTGAAGGCTTGATTATCTGCTCTCAAAACCCAGAACAGGAATTGCTAAGAAAATTTAACTTGCTCTCAGAGGTAACTCTATGTGTATATTTGAGATGTAATTGTTGACAATCACGTAAAATGGTCATGACAGAACTCGCTGGACCCCCAGTGGTAAATGTGGTAGGGGAGAGGATGTGACATGTAAAATGTGCTTCAGATAAGAAAAAAAAAATCCCTTGAAAAGATGCTGGTGTTTTTTTTTTTTTAGGTTAATTTATATATTTTGAGAGAGGCAGAGGCAGTGTGAGTTGGTGAGGGGCAGAGAGAGAGGGAGAGAGAGAATCCCAAGCAAGCTCCACACCATCAGCACAGAGCTCGATGTGGGGCTTGAACTCACGATCCATGAGATCATGACCTAAGCCAAAACCAAGAGTTGGAGGCTTAACTGACTGATCCACCCAGGCACCTGTTTTGTTTTGTTTTTGTTCTCTGTATGTTCTATTAGTTCTTAGTCCCTTTAAAGGGATATTGGAACAAATCAGAAGGAAGTTTCAGCATATACAAATGAGTGAGACAGAAAGCATGGTTCAGTCATACATTAAATACTGTGCAGCTTAAAGGTTTGCAGTTTAACCCAGTGTCAACCGGCAACAATTTTCAGGAACTCAGCTGAGAGAGTAGATAAGAAGTTAATTTATTAGCATCATGATGTGAACACATACTGAAATAACAGGGATTTGGTCAAGTAAAAGTAAGCTCTGAGTATCAGGCAAACCAACTAATTGTCAACTTCATCCAAAAAGCAGAAATAAGTTCTTGAGAACATTTAATTTTTTGAACAATATCTTTACAGGGTTTGGATTTTCTGTTTGTTTTTCTGCATTCAAGATGAGACTCAATATTACCTAAGTTTTTAGATATCAGTGGGAAATTAAGTATCTAGACAATTCATGCAAGCTTATCCGATCATTCAAGGGCAAACATATTTCTCTAAGTCATTCTTTACAGAAACCTTTCTAAAATGTATTATATGTAGTGGCACCTGGGTGGCTCAGTTGGTTAACATAGGACTCTTGATTTCGGCTCAGGTCATGATCTCGTGGTTGTGGGATCGAGCCCCAGTTTGGGCTCCGTGTTGAGTGTGGAGCCTTCTTGATCTCTCTCTCTCCCTCTCTCTCTCTCTCCCCATCTGCCCCTCCCTCTTTTCTTCCCTCCCCCCTCCTTTCTCTCTGTTTCTGTCTCTCTCCCCCAAAAATAAACTTAAAAAATAAAATAAAGTGTATTATATGTAGTCTTGCCTTCTTACAAAATACTGAACATAATTTGACCTCTAGTTGAAGACGTAGGGTCATAAATGTCCTAGGAAGTATCACAGTTTTCCTCCTTCAGTGGCAGATTGTCACCTGTCACTTCTACTATCGCTTCTCTTCCAGCCACAGTATCTGCCATTGTGGATTGCCCAGCTCCCTTGTGGAAAACATAACAGCCAATCACGAATGCTGAATACGAGTTAGTTTCTCACTGAACATGGGCCTAAGGGACAAAGTGCAGGGCTTTCGTGCAGCAAGTCTGTGACTGCTGTTGCTGGTTTGGGGGCCCTTTTGCAATATGTTCCATGTGGGGTCATGTTCTAGAAGGTTAAGGCTGTCAGGCAATGACCTCTAGGAAAATATTTACAATATTTAAAAAAAAATTAGCCAGATGGGGTAAATGTAAATGAAAACCCCAGTGTGATACTGCTTCACATGCATTAGCATGGCCATAATAAAAATGAGAAAAATTGGAGAAATCGGAACAATCACACATTGCTGGTATATGCCCCACACAACTGAAAGCAGGGCCTCAAAGAGATATTTACGCACTCACGTTCCTAGCAGCACGATTCGCCATAGGCAACAGGTGGAAACAACCTGTGTGTCCACTGACAGATGAACTGGATACACAAAATGTGATATACCCACAAAAGGGAATATTATTCCGCCACGGGACATACCTTGAAAACATTATGCTAAGTGGAAGAAGCCAGTCGCGAAGGCCACATATTATATGGTTCCATTTATATGAAATATCCACAAGGCAAATCCACAGAGTTGGAAAGCAAATGAGTGGTTGTGAGGACTATGGGGAAAGGAGAAAGTGGGAGTAACTGCTTAATGGGTACAGGGTCTCCTTGGGGGGTGATGAAAATATTCTGGAATTAGCGGTAACAGTTGCACAATTTTGAAATATGCTAAAACCCATTCACAAAATTGTACACTTTCAATGGGTGAATTGGATAGTATGTGAATTACATATCAATAAAGCTATCATATTAAAAAGAAATCAAAAGATTATAACCAAAAAAAATGTCTCATGAGTGATAGACGTGGCTACCCCCAATTCTCCTTAGACTCTCCTTTCTTAGATTCTTTCTTAGATTCTCCTTAGACACAAATTCTAAGTAGTGTCACTAAGTGGAATTTCAAGAGCAAATTAGTTTCCATACTGTAGTTGACTTAGTATATTATGGAAAGTACTCTAAAAGAGACTATTATCTAAGTTTGTAAGTTTATGTTTAAAAATAGATTCAAATTTAATCCTACAACTAAATTATATAGGCTGCCTGAACACATTTGAAAGAAAAATAACCAAAAAGGAATACACACAGACACACACACACACACACAATTTGCTTAGAACGTAAACAGTGAGGGTCTGGAGGAAGATTTTTCTCCAGAGGTCCATCGCGTATAGAAACAGATAACAAATAATGAATTTGAATTTTGAACTTTTAGAAAAGAAAAATGCAAACAGAAATTGGACTCTGGCCATGCGTTTTATGTAACATGGGGCAAAGGGAGAAGGAATTTTCTTCTTTTTGAAATTGGTCTGTCACCTCTGCGGGGACCCTGGCCAACTCTTCCAAACAGTCCTAGCCAGCGCATGTCCTCCTTCACACCTGGAACTGGATTTGGAGCTGGCACAGAAGAAGTGAGGTGCAACAGCTAAAGGGAGCTGGTGTGCCAAGAGAGAGACACTTCTCTCATGTAGCTCTGCTCCTCTGTCCGTATACAAAAGATGGGGGGGGGGCATTTCCCCTTGTATTTTAATTTTTTTTTTCAACGTTTATTTATTTTTGGGACAGAGAGAGACAGAGCATGAACGGGGGAGGAGCAGAGAGAGAGGGAGACACAGAATCGGAAACAGGCTCCAGGCTCTGAGCCATCAGCCCAGAGCCCGACGCGGGGCTCGAACTCACGGACCGCGAGATCGTGACCTGGCTGAAGTCGGACGCCCAACCGACTGCGCCACCCAGGCGCCCCTCCCCTTGTATTTTAAAGAAGATAAACTGTGGGGAACAATACAGCTTTATGTTTACTAACTGTTGAGTAACAGGAATATAATTTTGCTTTTTTAAAAGAAATGTTTATTTATTTTTGAGAGACAGAGCACGAACAGGGGAGAGGTAGAAGACAGAGAGGGAGACACAGAATCCAAAGCAGGCTCCAGGCTCTGAGCTGTCAGCACAGAGCCCAACATGGGGTTCAAACTTGCCAACCATTAGGTCATGACCTGAGCCGAAGTTGGGACGCCCAACTGACTGAACCACCCAGGCGCTCCACAAGTTTGCTTTTTATGATTTACGGTCCTCTAATGTAGAACACGAAGAGCTACCATTTCTTGGTATTTGCTAGTTCACAAGTGCTTTTATTTCCTTGATCTTGGGAGTTCTAAAAAATAGTACAAAGCAGGAGGGATCACCCAAAAATACCAATGAGAAAATGAAGCCCAAAGAGGTTAAACAACTTGAGGCAAGATCTGACTTCAAATCTCATGCTTAGATCCTGGCAGAGAAACGTAGTAGAGATCATTTCTTATTTCTTATCTCTCTTGGGAATCTTTCATTTTAATTTTTTTAAAGGGGGGGCATGAATGGGGGAGAGAGCAGAGGGAGTGGGAATGAGAGATAGAGAGAGAGAATCCCAAGCAGGCTCCACACTGTTAGCACAGAGCCTGATGCAGGGCTGGATCTCACAACTGTGAGATCATGACCTGAGCTGAAATCAAGAGTCAGACACTTAACTGGCTGAGCCACCTAGGTGCCCCTCTCTTGGGAATCTTAAACAAGAAAAACAGTCATATTTGTGTAGTGCTTATGATTCCTTCTCAAAATTATGTTCATGTCTGTTGTATCAACATCTTGTTAATTTCCGTGAGCTGTGCTGCACCAATATTTATCCAGCATCTACTATGAGCAAGTCACTGTTCTAGATGTTGAACAAGATAAGGTCCAAGCCGTCATGGAGTTTCCTAGGCTCATTTAAATGTAGAAGAAAGCTAAGGCACCAAGAAGTGAAATGGTTGTGAGAGTTTATGAAGAGCTGGAGGCAGACAGTAGGTCTTCCAACGTCAGCATAGGCTTCTAATTCTCCATGAATGGTACACCCAGCACTAT